GTTGTAAGGTGTGTGGTCCAACAGACATAGTGGTATTTGAGCCATGTTTTAATGATGAACAAGAGGCCATTAGGGGTGCCTGGGTGGCTCAGTTAAGTGTCTGACTCTTGATTTTGGCTAAGGTCATGAATTTACAGTTAGTGGGGTTCGAGCCCTGCATTGGAGCCTCTGACAGTGCAGAGCCTTCTTGGGATTCTCTCTTTCCCTTCCTCTCTGCCCCTCCCCCCTCATGCTCTCTCTGTTTCTCTCAAAATAAACAAATAAACTTTAAAAAGTTAAAAAAAAAAAAAGGGTCCAGTAAACAAAGACAGAGATGGGAAGAAATATTCCAGAGATACAGAATAGTGTAAATGGAAACAATCTGGATAATACAGGCTATATTTCAGAAATTATTAGTAGCTAAATCTGGCAGTACCATGGTTTCTAATAAAAGAAGAGGGGGAAAATAAGGATGGTATAGTTGGGTTAGTTTCAAGTCACATTGTTGATGACTTTGGATGTTAGACTGGAGGCACTCAATGGTATAATCCTAGAATAGTGGAGTTGCAGGTACAATGATAGATTAAATACATACATCTAATTTTATTATCTTCTAAAATTCCACTAAAACTAAAGAAAAAATATTTTTTAACTTAAGTGGACAAATTTAAAAGTATAAGAATAGGAAAGGAGACAAGTTTGGAATCTGAAAAGTAGATGGTTGAGTGGTAACTAACTTAATAAGGCAGGACAGCCAAGTCTAACCTGTCAGTGCAGAAACCCAAGAAACAATCCAGTTTATACTCCAGAACCATCAAAAGCCTCAGGAACTGGTAGGACCAAGAACCAATTGAGGGGAAGGTTGAGGGAAAAGATAAGGGCCAAAATAAGGAAGACTGGGTAGAAGTTGTGTGATAGTTAGAGCTGCACTTTCCTTTCCCACTCTACACCACTGGGCAACTCCCCTCTCCCATCTTGGCAGAAGTCAGGAGTCTTGTTCTATGGAGACGGCAAAGCAGAAAGTGTTTGAATTGGGAAATATCTCACACATTTGAGGATGGAGTTACCATACTGAAAACATAGATTACGTAAATTTATTCACACTTAATAAAGCCTGCAGAGACCCCACCACTATCACATGTGCACATATTGCTTTTCTCTTTTCTCTCACGTGACTCCCAAAGTGCTGACAGCCAGACTTCCACCTTCCAAGCAAGATACAGGAAAACTACCAACTGAAGAGGAAAGATTTAAATATGGTTCCCCCATAAATGCCCATCCAGATCCCTTGACTGTAATGGTAAAGTTAACAAGCCCACCCATACACTTAGATCCTCCAAACAAATTTTTAATTCCTTACTCTTAATCATGAACAGACATCACCATCAGACATCTGAGCAATCCTCCAACATGGATGATATAGACCAAAACCAACAAATAAAAAGGAACAACTTGGAGGACACAGAGATAAGGGAGGAAAAATAAGACTTGAACAATAACCTATTACTGACATTTTCAGAGAGTCAAGAGATGATAATGCAACCATTAAGAACAGACTCCTTGCAAAAAGAAACATTCAGAGAATAGAAAAGAGCTTTTGGAAATTAAAACATGATAGCAGAATACAGCAAAAAGGTTGAAAGTTATACTTGAGGAAATCTTTAAGAAATCAAACAAAAGACAAAAAGATGGAAAAGGAGAAAGATAAAATGGGAAGATCAGTCTAGGAGATCCAACCTTGGAATCCATATCCTAGCATGAGAGATTAGTGAAATAGAAGAGAAAAAAATAATCAATAATTCAGGAAAATGTCTCTAGAGTGAAGGACATGCATTTCCAGATAGAAAAGGCCACCTCAGTGTAAATCACAGTAGATGAATGGGAATTTTATTACAAAATTTAAGAACACTGGATACAAAGAGAAGATCTTAAAAGCTTCCACATAAAAGGATAAGGAGTCAGAATTTCTATAGCTTTCTCAAGAACAACACTGAAAACTAGAGACCATGAAAATAACTTCTAATCTAAAATTCCATATCAAGCCAAGTGATTAATTAAGCGGGAGAGGAGAGGAGGATAGGGTAAAGACATTTTAGATACACAAAATATCATTAATTTCCTATATATCCTTTCTCAGAAAGCTACTGGTGGATATGTACCACCAAAGAGAGGGAGTAAATCCAGAAAGATAAAAAATGGGGGCACCTGGGTGGCTCAGTTGGTTAAGCACCTGACTCTTGATTTCGGCTCAGGTCATGATTTCACACCCGCATCAGGCTCTGCACTGACAGCATGGAGGCTGCTTGGGATCCTCTCTCTCCCTCTCTCTCTGCCCTTCCCCCATTCTTTCTCTCTCACTCTCTCTCTCAAAATAAATATTAAAGAAGAGAAACAAAAAATGAAATGCAATAAATGGGAGATACATTTCAGGGTGACTGTTGTTCATCAGACCTAGGGTATAACTTGTTCAAACTGGAACAGGCTCAAAATTTGTGTCTAAAGATAGTGCAGGACTCCATATCTGTTAAGTATTTTTTTCTTCTGGAGTTAACAGGCAGATGTGGTAAAAGCCAATGGGATCTCACTTTTATTATAAGATCCACAGTAATGCTGGCATATGGGTGAGAGTGAAAGCCAATATAGTAATATGTTTTTAATATGAAGGATTATACTGAAGACAGGTGTCTCTCTTAGTCATCTTAGCAAGGGTCTTATGTTTAGGCTGTTTGCTTAGGTGTAGAATAAAACCAAATCTGGGGTGCTGGGTGGCTCGGTCAGTTGGTTGTCCGTCTTCAGCTCAGGTCATGATCTCACAGTCTGCGAGTTCAAGCCCTGCGTCAGGCGCTGTGCTGACAGCTCGGAGCCTGGAGCCTGCTTCAGATTCTATGTCTCCCTCTCTCTCTGCCCCTCCCCCTCTCACACTGTCTCTCTCTCACTCTCAAAAATGAATAAACATTAAAAATTTTTTTTAAATAAAAAAATAAAAAAAAGAATAAAACCAAATCTGCCTGAATAAGGGGAAAAATATGTACACACACGTGTGTATGTATGTATGTTTATATATATATACTATATATACATATGTATATGTACACACACACACACACACACGTGTGCACACACACTTATAAATAGGCATAGTGTGTCTATGGAAAGATACATAAGAACCTGGAGATCATAGTTGTCTCTGTGTGGCTAGGGAAAAGAAATGTGAGGAGACCTTTTCTTCACTATTTATCTCCTTGTTTCTTTTAATGTTTTGGACAGAATGCAGGGTAAGAGAGACAACAGACTGGGATCAGTAGAGATTGTCATGTTCTTGAATTGAGGAAATAAGGGCCTGAATGAGAAAAGAAGGGGTGGGTGCTGAAGTCATAAGAATACTTGCCTGGTCTTGTGATAACCAAATGTGGCAGGAAGGTGGGGTGGCAGTAGGTACTGAGGGAGAGGCTGGAGGGCAGTGGTCAGAGATGACTCTTTGCTTTCTAGCCCAGGTTAACAAATCTGAGAACACCGTGAGAACACTGAGGAGGGTGGATTACAAAAGAATAAGTGGCAGGGGTAGAGGTGGAGGAGTTGGAGGCAGAAGTTGTAGTTTGCTTTCCTTCTGACCCAAAACTCATTTTTGCTGGTCATATCATGTGTCTTATCATCCACAGCTTCTGGTCTTGTGAGATGATGGAGTGGCTTCTGGAAATCTCAGTGATGCATCCTGATGGTGGGAGGCACCACCTCAGAGGGTTGAGGGAGTGTAGTGCAAAATGTGCTGTAGGCACTCAACCAACCAAAATGGTATTTCTTCTATGGCTGAGAAGCAAAGGGGCAGAGGGGCTGATGCTTTGCAAAACTTCCCCCAGCTCTGTCACTTACGAATTTAGTGACCTTGGGTTAATCACTTTGACCACTCTATGTGTAAGTTTCTTCATCAACAGAATGGTCATTATATCCCGATACCTCACAGGGTCATTGTGAGGAATAAATGAGATAATGAGTTTAAAAGTTTAGAAGAGTGCCTGGTACAAGGTAAATACCAGTCATGCTAACTAGTAGTGTTATACTTAATGACATCTTTTAACTGTTCTTGGCTTTTCTTCCCCCAGACTTGGAACACAGAAAATATGGAGAATTTAATATACAGAGGAAGGATGTTTTCACCAGAGGCACATTAATGTTTCATTCAATCTTTGAACAAATAGTTTTGAGGTACTCTTAGGTGCCTAGGATTCGTTGGTAAAGAAATTAGACACATTGCTGCCCTCACAGAACCTAGAGGTTTTTTTTTTCCCAGAATTTCCTTGGGTCATCTCACATGTAGCAATATATACTAAGTGCATGCTATATGCTAAGTGAACATACATATATGTGTGTGTGTATGCATTTATTCATTTTTAGTTGAGATATAATAGACATATAACATTGTACCAATTTTAGATGTACAACATAATGGTTTGATATATGTATAGATTGTGAAATGATTGCCACAATAAGTTTTGTTAACATCCATCACTACATATAGTTACAAACTTTTTTTCTTGCAGTGAGAACTTTTAAGATTTACTTTCTTAGCAACTTTACAAATATACAATACAGTTATATGCATTTATTTTATAATCAGGGTATTTTAAGGAATATTTTACATTAAGATTTTGTTTAATGTATATATGAGCACATAATTTAAAATTACAGAATATAAAAGTTACAAACTGAAAACCAAGTATCCCTTCCCTAACTCCAAACTTCCCAGTTGTCCTCAGAAAGAACCTCCCTTACTTGATTTTTTATGTCTCATGACTGAGATAAACATATAGAATCATATAAGCCCCCTTTTCTTATGCAATGGTTAGGGAAAGGGGAAGAGGAGGGTTTGGGATGAGTCAGAGGCCATTAGCTGACTGGAGAATGAGGCTTCCATAGAGACATTAAGAGGGAGAAAGTACATTAGGAAGACAGAGGAAGTAATATCAGACTACAAGGGTTGAGTAGTACCATTGAAGTAGAAGCAGAAAATGGAGACTTTTAAATCAATTTAAGAAAAATTTATTAAGAACTCACTATACGAAACATGTTAGAAACCAACAAGATGCTTATGGCCTAATGAAGCAAATGCAGGGAAGAACACACAAATGGTAATATTACAAGGACAAGCATGGCTAGTACAGCTGTCTACAACCTTCTAGATTCCTTTATGTAGAATAAGAAGAAATATTTCTGTGGGTTGGGCCTCCCAAAGTTCTCTCTTGGTTTGGACTGAGGCTGCCTCGTCCCTTAGTGATGCTGCTTTAGAGCCAGGGTCATCTGACTCATCTCTACTGGGCTAGTATAGTCCTCTCGTGTACCCAGTTTCCCCATCATTTATAATGACATATAGACAGTCCTCAGATATAAATTTGCCAGCCCTGCTCTTGGCCAGCTGATCTCTCCCTAGGGCACCTGCCAGCAAAGTTGGCCCCTAGATGATTTACATCTTGGTCCTCCTGATTCCAATCTAGCTCTTTGTGTCTCAGAAGTAAGTTGAAAGAGTCCTAAGCTTCCTTCCATTTATCCCATTATCAAGATGATAGCTCTTCCTCCCCTGCTCTGCCTGCAGCCAGATGAAACATCACAATAACTTGATTATTATCCAAACTTCTCACCAACCACTATGGAAGCTGCTGTCTGTCTTAAGTCCTTTTGGACAGACTGTCTACCTGTTGCTAATCCCAAGGTTTGTCAGAGGACTGGACAGACAGGACATTCATGTGCATCTCTGTTGTCAAGATCTTTCATTTTTTTTCTCTTTTGAGTGTTGTGATCTCTCAGTTGGCTCTTGCATAGTTGCCCTGGATCATCATCTCAGTCATTTCTTTCAAGAAGAGAAGTAGGTTCACAATGCGCAGTGCTTGACCCAGTGTTCTCTGCTAAGGCTTATCTATAGCTTGTTCCGCAGGCGGATCCTTCTCAGGTTAGCAAGGGCCCAGATAGAAGTGGATCCAGGATCCAGAGCTGATTCCATCTTCATTGTTCTTAATTTTCCAAATTTTGAGTTGGTCTGCTCATCATTGTCAGCACGTCAAGCCACCATTTTCCTACTGATCTTCACAGAGGGACAAGAGCTCCTCAGCAGTGTTTTTCTCAGGGCATAGTAATTACATTATTATAGTACACATCTCTTTATGTTTCAAGATATTAATAGCAATACTATAAAAGCCATAAAATATATAGCTCCCACAAGACTGAAGAGGTAGTTATTCAGTCACAAATATACAAGATAGAATGAGGCACTACCTTAGAATTATCATAGATAAAAGCCATTATTCCAGTAATTGGGAGTTCTACATAAAACGCAATTTATAAAATTAAGAAAAGAAGGCTGAATGTGAAACAGGAGGTGTTAGTCTTAAACATTATTCCTGAGCCAGGAGCCAGTCAGGTGAGCTTGGCGCACAAATTTGCTCTGAAATGAAAAGAAGCAGTTAAGGTCTGCTCCTGAGGTAGGGAGCAGAGCTGGCATTACAGGGTGGCTTTCTCAGATGGAGTCCTGGAACCTCCACTATTATTAATGGTAATAATAATATTAATAGACAAAAAAAGGTAAGCCCAAAACTTGAAGGGAAAGGCATATAAACAATGGACAGTTATATGGACTTTATTCTTTAATTAAAAATGTGTAGTACTTTTGTCGCCTGAGGCTGTCTTCAAAATGTTAACACACTGGGCTTCATCAGATCTCTCAGGTACGTGGTATGGTACTCTGGAAAAACAGAAAGAGAAAAAACTGGGTGAGATTTCACAATACAGCCACTTTATTTTTCTAGATTTCAGTGACAGGGTGAAACATAGGGGGCCACTGCAATAGCAATAAGGAGAAACAAACTATTGAAGAGAGAGAAGGGGATGTGCTGTTCATGCTTCCTTCAATTAACTATCCTTTATTTTAATCTGGGCCTGCCCCTGCCATGTGTTGATTCCTTGCTGCCTTCTCTCTGTAGGCTCTTCTGGCTATTTCTGAACTGGGTCTGTGAGGACAGGCAACATCTTAGCACCTGGGCTCATCATCCAGGATTCCTAGATTCACAGCAGCTTATGCATTAGGTCAATGCTGAGCACTCTGGGGGCTGTGCATCCTGGGGTTATGACTGTATCTTTGTGACCAGGTGTTTGACTTAGGATTGCTTTGACCCTATGACTGTGTGGCCAGAGCCTTGATATTCTTGAGAGCCCTGTTTCTCAGGGAGGATGGAGTACAAATAATCTGATTTCATCATGTTGTGAAAGAACTCATCACCAGGAATCTTTATGCACTCTTCATGCATACATTCATTCTGTCAACAAATATTTGCTACAATAGCCAAGATATGGAAACCTAAGTGTCCACTGATAGATGAATGGATAAAGAAATTGTGGTAATGTACATACAATGGGATATGATTCAGCCATAAAAATGAATGAGTATTTTGCCATTTGTGACAACATGGATGGACTGTTTTTGTTTTTAGTTTGAATAAATTGAATTTAAAAACAACTGAAAACTTGAACTCTTAATAAAAAAGCACTTCATCATATTTTGTCTACTTTAGCCCCTAGTATGTGGACAAAAGATAATATAAAGAAAAGGATATACACATTTCCCCTGTGTCATATATAGGATTGCTTATTTAGATTTGATTACGTAAAAAATCTAGAAAGAAAGCAAATAAATGAAAAAATAAAAATCAAACAACTTATAATACTGCTCAGCTGAAAGCAAATGTAAGAGAAACTAAGCCCTGATGAATAGCATTTACTTTTCCATGAAACTCTTTTTCAACATGTTATATATTTACCAAATCACTACCATGTAAATGTTATGAATACATCCCATTATCTGTAAATCGGTAGATGCCATGAAAATTATAACTATAGAAAATTGTTAGTATTATAAAAAGGCTACTTTCTATGGATTAAAAAATATCTGCTACTATAGTTTCATAATAGAAAAAAATTATTGAGCACCTACTATATGCCAGGCACTGAGCTGGGTGCTAGCAGCACAATGATAAGCTTAACTGTTATGGTCTGTACCCTCCATAAGTGTGTACTTCACAGAGGTTAATAATGTAACTGCACAAAAATGTAAGTATTGCCTGGTGTTATGAAGATAAAGCATAGGGATCCATATGATTCTATAACAGGTTAGCATAATCTAGCTTAAGAATGGGTTTTTTAGAAGTGCAGCTCGAACCAAGACGTGAAGAATGAGTAAAGAAGTGGCAGAAGAACATTCCAAGTAGAGGGCAGAGCAGATGCAAAGACACTGAAGTTACAGGGAACATGTTATCTCTCCTCACTTATTTATTCATTCCATACATGTAGGATTCCCACTAGTCCAGGCATCGTGATAGGTACCGAGGTTACCATGTGAATCGTATACAGCACACACACACCACACAGACCACCTTTGGTGTTAATTTTTTACTTTACCATGACCGAGCTTGCCATGTCCCTTGAGCATTGTGTACTGGACATCCTGCCATCCATTTATAGCTAGAACATTTCCTTCCAGATCCTGACTAGTCTCATTTTCCTTTCTTTCTTCATTCGTTCATGTTTGCTAAGGGCTCAGCATGCCTCAGATTCAACTGATGGTCAAGTTATAAATTCTCTGGAGATGGTACCTCTTTCAGCAATGTTGTAAGGTCAAGACTCACCTTTCCTTGGTCTGTTTGCTCTCTTTTCTCTCCCCTTTGATGGTTTCTGAAAGAGACCAAAACAACTTTAGAAAATGTATTGCCTTATAGACACTAAACGAGGGAAAGTTTGAAGAGAATCCAGTCCTAGGACTCAAAGAGAAATCATGTGCCTATACACGTGGAAAAGATGGTTACTTGATGCAATTTCAGGGGGACTGAGAAGGCGTTTTTTTGCATCCAAAAAGCAAATGCTTTCCTTTATTCACTGTGTCTTAAGTTCTAATATTGGAAATAGACTTTTCACATATAGCTCTACCCTTTACTAAAATAAAAATACTACTGGGAGGGGTAACACATTTAGTTTTAGCAATCATTTAGTGATTGGAAAAGTTTTCAATCCTTTTCTGAAAGTAAAGGTTTAGAAGAAGGAATAAAAGGAAATCCTGAATATGTTGATGCCTAAATGATTGAGTCGGCTGGCACTACCCAATATTATACAATGTGGCATGGATGGGCCTAAATGGGAAATCTCTAGCTGGCTAGATCTCCCAAAGCCTGAGTTGCTACTGATATGGGCTTACCACTGATGCAACTTGGAGTATGAATTCCTTTAGGCTGACTGTTGTGATAGTGCTTTTGTCTCACTCAGAATCTTGCAACAGGGATTGTTAACCTGGATGTCCATAGAGAACTTTAGGGAGTAAAACAATACCCTTGATGGGTTTTAACGCTTCCTAGCATTGGCAGTTCTGGTGTGTGTGTGTGTGTGTGTGTGTGTGTGTGTGTGTTTAAAGATAATCAGCTTTATTGAGGGATAATTAATATACGACAAAATCCAGTGATTGTCTGTATAGATTTTTATGAGTTTAGCAAATGTATGCAGTCAAGTAACTACCACCATAACCAAGATATAGAACATTTATATAAGCCCCAGTAGTTCCCTCCTGCCCCTTTTCAGTCAATATTTTCCCCTATCCCATCCTCTGATAACCACTGATCTGGCTACTGTCACAATAGTTTTGCTTTTTTAAAATTTCATAATTCCAAAGGATCATAAGTGTGTGGTCGTGTGGTCTTTTTGTGCCTGGTCTCTTTCTCCTAGCATACTTCTTTTGAATTTATACATGATGCATGTTACTAGTAGTCTGTTCCTTTCTATAGTTCAGCAGTATTTCACTGTATGAATATACCACCATTTGTTTATCCATTTACCAACTGATGGAAATTTAGGATACCAGACTTTCAGTATTTCAGCTGCTATGGACATTTGTGTATGTATCTTTGTGTAGACATATGTTTTTATTTCTCACAGGTAAATATCTAAGATTTCTGGGTTGTGTAGCAGTGCATGAGAGTTTCAATTGCTTCACATCCTCTCCAGCCCTTGATATTTACCAGTACCTTTAATTTTAGCCATGTTAGTGAGTGTGTAGTGGTATCTCATTATAGCTTTAATTTGTATTTCCTTAATGACTAATGATGTTGTGACTGTCTGACTGTGCTCATTGTCCATTTGTATATTTTCTTCTATGAAGTATGTGTTCAAGTCTTTTGCTCCTAGCCTTTTGTTAAATGGATTGTCTTCTTTACTAGGTAGTAATTTATAATTATATATTCTGGATATATAGTATATAAGTTCTTTTCAGATATGTATTTGGAAACATTTTCTCCCAGTCTGTGGCTTGACTTTTAATTTTTTTAACAAAGTCAAAGGGCAAAAGTTTTTTAATTTTGATGAAGTCCAGTTTATCAATTTCTACTTTTTTTTGTTTGTTTTTTTTTATATTTATTTATTTATTTATTTTTGAGAGACAGAGCACAAGTGGGGGAGGGGAAGAGAGAGAGAGAGAGAGAGATACAGAATCCGAAGCAGGCTCCAGGCTCTGAGCTGTCAGGACAGAGCCCGACGTGGGACTCAAACTCACAAATCATGAGATCATGACCTGAGCCGAAGTCAGACGCTTAACTGACAGATCCACCCAGGCGCCCCCAATTTTTACTTTGTGCTTACTGTATCCTATCTAAGATTTGCCTAACCTAAGATCAAAAAGATTTTCTCTGATTTTTAAAAATCTCTTAATTTTAGCTCTTATTTTTAGGTCTATGATCCATTGCAAGTTATGTTGTGTGTGTCAAGGTTCATATTTTTCCATGTGGGTATCTAATTGTCCCAAAACCATTGTTGAAGAGACTATCCTTTTCTGCATGGAATTACCTTAGCTCCTTTGTCCAAATCAGTTGACCATATGAGTTTACCTTTTGATTATTCCTCTTGTTTCATTGGTTGGTATGTCTGTGCTTTCACTAATACCACGCTGTCTTGATTACTATAGCTATATAGTAAATCTTGAAATAAGGTAGTATAAGTCGTCCATTTTTATCTTGTTTTTTAGAATTGTATGGCAATTGTATGTCTTTCACACTTCCACATAACTTTAAAATTAGCTTTTTAATTTCCACTAAACAGCCTGCCAGTATTTTGATTGGTATCTCATTGAATCCACAGATCACTTTGGGCCAAACTGATATCCTAATATCTACTCTTCTGATCCATGAACATGGCATATTTCTCCAATTATTTAGGCCTACTTTAATTTAGTCAGTAGTAATATTTTTCAGTTTTTGGTGTACAGGTCTTGTACTTATTTTTAAAAATTTACTCCTAACCTTTGAATATTATTTGATGCTACAGTAGCATTTGTATTTAAATGGTATTTAAAATTTTTTTCAGTGTCCAACTTGTTTGTTGTTAGTATGTAGAAATACAACTGATTTTGATTTTGTGTATTGACTTCGTATCTTGAGACTTAGCTACACACAATTAGTTCTAATAGCTTTTTATGGATGCCTTGGGCTTTTCTATAAACATGATCATGCTATTTTTGAAAAAAAGACAGTTTTTCTTCTTCCTTTCCAACACGTGTGCCTTTTCTTTCTTTTTCTAGATTTTGCACTGGCTAGGACCGCCAAGAAAATTTTGAATAAATATAATACATTTAAATGTGGTATCTTTTCCTCATTCCTGATCTTATGGAGAAAACAGTCAGTCTTTTAACATTAAATATGATGTTAACTGAAGGTTTTGGTATATGTCCTTTGTCAGGCTGAGGAAGTTCCTCTATATTCCTACTTTTATGAGAGTTTTTCTTTCTTTTTGAAAATTATGAATGAGTATTAATTTTGCCAAATGCTTTATCTGTATCCACTGACATGATTACATGGCTTTTCTTTTTGGTTTGCCAATATGGTGAATTTTATTGCTTGATTTTTTAATATTGAGCCTATCTTATATTCCTGGAATAAACCCCACTTGATAATGATGTATCATACTTTTAATATATTGCTAGACTTTAGTTGGTAATTTTGTAAAGCATTTGGCCATTTATGTTCCCAAGGCATATGTGTAGTTTTCTTTCCTTATCAGAGCAGTCTGGAAACTGACTTTAAGTAGTAGTTTGGGGGCAATCATACAGCTCATCTCATCTTTTCCCTTCTTTCAGGGATTACAGTTTTCTACAGCTTGTTGTTGTCCAAAGTTTGAAAACAGTTGTTTCATATTTTGTCTGATTTCCAGTTGTTTACAATATGAGGGAAATTCCTGTAGCAGTTCATCCTACATGGGAGGAAGAAGTTTATATCTTCTATATAATTTTAAAAATTTAATAAATTTAAAAAATTGTTAATTTTTACAACTCAGTCATATTTCCTTACATCTTCTTATAATCATGCACTGAGATGCCCTTTGAAGCCACAGTTAAGTATGATATTTGTACTCTATGGCAGTTCTTCAGATATTTGAAGGGAACACCTGTCCCATTCCCAAAGCTTCCTTTCTGGCTAAGCATCCTCAGTTACTTGAACTATTTCTTATTTGACTGAACTTCTAGACACTTTATATATCTGGCTAGGTTTTGTTTTTGTCAAGGTTTCTTTTTTAAAAATAATGCTTATAGCTGAATACAGTTTTTCAGATGTCTGTGGACCAACATAGAATATTTATATTGTCCTTTCATACCCATGACAAAATCATCACCATTTAAAAAAAAAAAAAAGCTTCTATTTTAAAATGAAAGCGGACAACAAAAAAGCAGATTCTAATCTTGTGTATTTGATTACAAATTTAGCATTCTGAAGGCCAGATGTGATGATATCACCAACTTTCAGTTTTTAAGTCCTGTGAAGGTTTCTGTCTAAATAGTGGTTAAAATTATTTATTTCAGAAAAGACACTTGCCCTTTAAGAAATCATTCCTGAAAGAGCTGAGACTCTTCCAGGTTTGGTGGAGGGAGGCAAACTGTAAAAACTGTTGGTTGCTAGGGCTCTATTACATACAGATTTCAGTCACACAAGACCCAAATGAGGAAGTAAAACTTCAGGAGGAGCTATTTTTAGTCTCTCTCCCCAATGGGTAAGCTGATAGGGTAACTTCTGATTGGGAAAAGACAGTAATTCAAGGTTACAATTTCTCATGCCTAATCTGCTTTGTTTGACAAATCAAAAAAGAGAAGAGAGATTAGAAACCAGCTAGAAGAACTGTGGCATTTCCCTTTTATTCATTTAACAGCCTGAACAGAGTAAATCTGGACGGTTGGGGCATAGAAAAAGTATAATTACCGAACAAACACTGGAAAAGACTTCTGATGCCAAATTATTTAGCTAGAGGGCTGTCTCCTCTGAGAAACAGATTAATATTGGATTAGGAGGAAGCTCCATTTTTGGAGAAATTCCTACTGGTTATCAGTAAGTTTGTGTCTCTGTGGATGGATCATGACTGCTTCCATGTCTATTTGTCAGCAGAATTTAGTTCCTCGTGGTTTTATGACTGAGATCTCCATTTCCTTGCTGGCTTTCAGCTGAGGGCCAGTTGCAGATTCTAGAGGCCACCTACATTACTTGTGTCACGGCCCCTTCTCCATCTTCAAAGCTAGCAATGATGGGTTAAGTCTGTCTCAACCTTTGGATTTCTCCTTCTTACATCTCATCCCTCTAACCCAGCCTGGGAAAGATACTCTGACTCATGTGATTAAATTGGGCCCACCTGGGTAATTCAGGATTATCTCACCATCTTAAAGTCATTACCTTAGTTACATATGCAAAGTCTCTTTTGCCATGTGAGATAACATAATAGGTTCTGTGAATAGTATGTGGACATCTTTTTGGGGACATTGTTTAGTCTATCATATAGGCAGTGCCAGAGGTATCCACAAGGCAACGTGCAGACATTGCTGAACTACAGAACCCAAATTTACAAACACATCTACATAGCATGGTTACTTGGAACATGTCCTCCTCCAGTGATATCAAGACTCTTCTCTTTGACCAAACTCACTAGCACAGGTGATTGTCTGATCAAACTTTCCCTAGAAATATTCTTTATCACATTCTTGGGAGGAAGAGGTCATATATGTGCTACGTTCTCTTGTTATTTTCTGCCTTTTATCATTCATAGCTCAGTTTGACTATTTCATATGCATACACACAGCTTCTTTTTTTCTTTTCATATTTTTATTTAAATTCTAGTTAGTTAACATACAGTGTAAAACTGGTCTTAGGAGTAGAATTCAATGATTCATCACTTACATACAAACCCAGTGCTCATCATAACAAGTACCCTCCTTATACCCATCACCCATCTAGCTCATCCCCCACTCATCTCCCTCCATTAGCCTCATTGTCAACAATAGCCAAGCTATGGAGAGAGCCCAAATGTCCATTGACTAATGAATGGATAAAGAAGATGTGATATGTATATACAATGAATGGATAAAGAAGATGTGGTGAAATATTACTCAGCCATCAAAAAGAAGGAAATCTTGTCATTTGAAATACAAAGCTTCTTGAACCCCCTTTCAACTTCTTTCATGTATACACACACATCCTCTTTAACTCTATAGTCTATTCTCCTGAATTTTTCTGATTTCCTCTTGGGGGAAGAAACATTCTTACTCTCCTTTTCTCCATTTCTTCTTTGTTTCATTTGTGAGCTAATCATTCCAAAGTAAAAGAAAATTTAGGAAACAGCTTATTTTCAAGCTGAAGCCTGCTTCTGCACATTTAGCTAATTCTAAATTGCAATGAGGGGCGCCTGGGTGGCGCAGTCGGTTAAGCGTCCGACTTCAGCCAGGTCACAATCTCGCGGTCCATGAGTTCGAGCCCCGCGTCAGGCTCTGGGCTGATGGCTCAGAGCCTGGAGCCTGTTTCCGATTCTGTGTCTCCCTCTCTCTCTGCCCCTCCCCCGTTCATGCTCTGTCTCTCTCTATCTCAAAAATAAATAAATGTTGAAAAAAAAATTTAAAAAAAGATTGCAATGAGATTGAAAGAAAAAGCTCAAAATTGTCACCTTGAGAAGTCAAAGCTTTGATAACCACGATATATCTCTACATCTGACCCTGTGTTCTGAATTTTACACTTTCATATCATAGAAATCTATTATTATATCAGCACACTACATACTTTGGTGGTTTGAATGACTCTACCATAGGCTTAGTATTCATTTATTGAAATTGGATAATCAGTCCCCAATTTCCTGTGTTGTTTTGTTTTAATATAGCAGGATGATGGGTTGTCCGGGTGGCTCAGTCAGTTGAGTGTCAGACTCTTGGTTACCACTCAGGTCATGATGTCACAGTTTGTGGGATTGAGCCCTGCATCAGGCTCCCTGCTGACAGTGCAGAGCCTGCTTGGGATTCTCTCTCCCTCTCTCTCTCTGCCATTCCCCAGCTCATGGTCTCCCTCTTGTTCTCTCTCAAAATAAATAAATAAACTTAAAAAAATACACATAATAGGATGCAATGAATGACTGCTAATGTTATCCATCTATTTTCTAGTGGATCTTATAATCAGTACACTGACTGAGCCAGCCAGGTGACCCAAAATTTTATTTATTTATTTATTTATTTATTTATTTAAGTTTATTTATTTATTTATTTAAGTAATCTCTATACCCAACGTGGGCCTCAAACTCACAATCTTAAGAGTCCCATGCTCTTCTGAATGTCAGAATGGCTAAAATTAACAACACAAGAAAGAACAGGTGTTGGCAAGGGTGCAGAGAATAGGGAATCCTCTTGCACTGCTGGTGGGAATGCAAACTGGTACAGCCACTCTGGAGAACAGTATGGAGTTTCATCAAGAAGCTAAAAATAAAACTAAACTGTGATCCAACAATTGCACTGTTAGGTATTTACCCAAAGGATACAAAAATACAGATTTGAAGGGGTACATGCACTCCAATGTTTACAATAGCATTATCTACAATAACCAAACTATGGAGAGAGCCCAAATGTCCATTGACTAATGAATGGATAAAGAAAATGTGATATGTATATACAATGAAATATTACTCAGCCATTAAAGAATGAAATCTTGCCATTTGCAATGATGTAGATGGACATAGAATATATTATGCTAAGCAAAATAAGTCACTCAGCAAGACAAATACCAAATATCATGTAATTTCACTCATTTGTAGAATTTAAGAAACAAAACAGATGAACATATGGGAAGGAAGGGAGTAAAGAGAGAGAGGAAAACAAACCACAAGATGCTCTTAATGATAGAAAACAAACTGTGAATTGACAGGGGGAGGTGGGTGGGAGATGGGCTAGATGGGTGATGGGTACTAAGGAGGGCACTTATGATGAGCACTGGGTGTTGTATTTAAGTGATGACTAATTGAACTCTACTCCTGAAACCAATATTTCACTGTATGTTAACTAACTAAAATTTAAATTAAAAATTATAAATAAATAAAATCATTTGTGAACATTAAAAAAAAAATCAGTATACTGAAATCTTAAATAAGATGCTGATCTGAAGCATTTACTCATCTGATGCTTTTTACCAAAGTGAGTAAGAAGGTTACCTAATTATTACCACCAACCAAACTTCTACTACAGGCATTACTGATATAAAGTCCAACCTTACTCTACAACTTTGCCCAAACCAGCCCAAACCACAAAGAAGCATAAGATTATTATAAAGCCAGGTGCAACTTTGTCCCCCATTAAGCACAGGGCCACTTTTATAAAAGTCAATGAGGAGGCTGCTCAATGCAGTGCTATTTATAATAGCAAAACTATGGGAACATCCTAGGTGTCTACCAATATGGAGTTAGTTAAATAAATTAAGGTATATCCACAAAATGGAATATCTCACAGCCATTTAAAATGATGCTGTAGAAAAAAAATAAATAATGCTATAGAATGATACTTACTGACATTACAAATTTTCTTGCTACATTTAGTACAAATAAGTTAGAAAACAGTACATGTGGTATTATCCAAACTGTGAAAAACAGTCCTATAATATTATTCCAATTATGGAAAATAACATAGATTCCAGAAAAATCTGGAATATATACACCAAAATGTTGTCTACATAACTCTTTCTTGTGGAACTATAGATGATTTTTACTTTCAGTATAATTGGTAATGGGTATGTAATACTTGGTAATCAATAAAAGTTAATATTATTTTTATAATATTATTTTATATTATATTTTATTTATTATTATTTTTATAATAATATTATTTTCACAAGTCAAGGGGGAACAATTCATCCTACTTTCTTTTCCTCAGAAACCTAGACTTTTAGAGATGAGAAGGTGAATCTTATGGTCATCTAATTCTCCCCTCCTCCCACCAAGCTTCCCTGCTTGAACTCTGCCAGGTCCATAATCACTAACATTTAGAAGTGTTTTCACCATTTTACTTCATTTAAATGTTCACAGTGAACTCATGAAGTGAGGTAGGTAAAGCAAGGAATAATCAGCTTTGTCTGGAAACCAGAAGTACCTTTGTAAACCTTAGAAATGTTGCCTCTCCTAGAAATCCAGAGCAATGTTGAGTCCCATCTATATGGGCTACAAACTCTGAGGGAAAACCTTTTCCTCCAGCCACTTGCTGACTTTTTGCCAGTCTGAGCTCAGTCAATGAGCTCCAGAAGGCAGCTGATCAGGAGGTAGCTGCAAAATAGCAATCTGTAGAGAGGACAAGCACTGACTCACCACATTCATGAGAGGGGCCAGGCTGCTTCTTCTTCCTTTTCCTTAGTGTTTTAAAGGACACCATCCCACAAAAAACAACAAACATTACAAGTACAGCCGCAATCCAGAGGAAGTGGCCTTGTTCAGGGTCTTTATCCTTAGGTTGTGCATCTAGAAATGACCACAAGTTTTCAATCAGCCAGGAAGGTTGATTATAAAAGGTTTATAATTACTGTTGTCTTCATTTACAAGTCAACATCTCCCCAGGGTTCTACTGCCAGAGGAGCCTGAAATCCACAATCTGAAGCCATAGAAAGCCTGAGTCACAGGGCCTCACAGCTAAGAATCAAGCCATTGCTCCTGGCCAAATGCTTGGACTAAGCTACCTTCTCTTCCCAGAGGTTGGGATGACAAGGACTGTGATCTAGAAGAAGAGTGTCAAACTGGCCCTTGGTTCTGTGCATGGATATGGTACCCATGCTGAAGGTTTTGAATGTATAGTCATCTGTGCAGCAGCATGCTTCCTCAGCCCAGGCATAGTCAAGCCCTGGGGTCCTGAAGTTTCCCTTATAATAATTTTTCCATCCACTATCATCTGTAGATCAGGTGTCAGACATACCTCACTTGGACAAATATAACAGCTTCCTATCTCCAGTTTTGCTTGTTTGTTTATTTGTTTCTTCCACTGAGGTCACAGTGGAAAAAGCAGGGCTTTCAGAATGTATCACCTACTAGAAAACCTTTGATATCTTTTCATGCCCTGAGGAAACCGGTTTAGAATCAGCTCCTGGGAGGTCAGGACATTCTTTCCTGCACGGGGACTTCTAAGTTTCTACAAAGTTGAAAAACAGACTTTGGAGAGAAAGCTTATAACTGAGTGGCCCATTTTATAGACAATTTATGGGAATGATTTCAATAGTTAATCTCAAATTACAGGCAAATAGGAACCACTGACCTATTAGTTTAGCTGCAATTTGTGGATCCATACCTTGTTCCTAAGACATTAAGAAAAGGAGTTGCTACCATTACAGGCCATATTCAACACTTTTTTGAGTCTGTCCCAGTTTATCCCACTTGAGCCTGTTTGGCATTCCCAGTATAGAGAAGTTATACTTGATAACATGGAGACTGCTACCTTTTGACACTCAAAAAGATTCCTTGATTCAGGGTCTACTCAATTTCTGATCAAGCCATAGAACAGGGATACAGAGAGGCAAGCCCTGGCTTCCTGAGGCAGCTAGAGCTAAAACATTTCTGAATATGGTGATAGCTGGGAAGGTTTTGACAGTAGTGGAGAAACAGCAGAAAGGTGAGACATGATGAAGCTACAGTGGTGGTAATGCCCTGTTCATTTGTAGACTGTGGGAGGCATGGCAGAGGAAGCCATGGCAGAAGGCCCCAAGCATGTTAGGTGTGGTGGTATTGCTGGCTCCAAACAGGTGCTGAACCTCAGGGATAGCTTAGGAGAGGCTACTATTAGGCCAACAGAGGTTACAGTGAAGCAACCAGGACAGGCTATGTGGCCTATTTACTGGACTCTCAGAGGCAGAAGTGTCTTAGCAGGAGGAAATCAGTAGAAGGAAAGGATTGGGCCACCGGTAAAGCTTATTGGCCCCAAGGACTGTCCATAAGAATGTGTCCATGGACCAAGTTATGTTTGAACAATGAGACACCAGGAGAGAGGAAACAGCAGGGTTAGAGGATTAAGAAAGAAGTTGAATGGATGCCTTAGAAGAGGAAAAAACCAAAAGGGAGAATTGGAGAAGGGGCCAAGGTAAGCAGAAGGCAGACGTGTGGGAAAAGGGGTCAGGATCAGAAGCAGCCATAAGGGCAGTGTGGGTACAGGGTCCCTTTATTCCAGGAGAGAATCTTGGAGTTACTGCTCCTCACAAGTGAAGTCTCAAATATGGATACATTTCTTCCAGGGCAAAGCCAGACTTTAAAATGTCAGGCTCGTATAGCAGACACTGCTTTATTGTCAGCCCTTTCCTCAAACTAGACTGGACCCTGTACTATACTGTCAACATGCCACAAGAACTTCTGCTTCTGAGTCTTTCCTTGATGCATATGCCCACACCACCACCTGTGCCCATATCAGATACTGTGAATTGATTGTGGTCCTCTCACTTTTCTTTTTTAATGTATGTTTATTTTTGAGAGGGAGAGACAGAGTGCAAGTAGGGAAGTGGCAGAGAGAGAGAGAGAGACACAGAATCTGAGGCTGGCTCCAGCCTCCGAGCTGTCAGCACAGAGGCCAACATGGGGCTCAAACCCACAAACTATGACATCATGACCTAAGCCAGAGTCGGATGCTTAACTGACTGAGTCACCCAAGCGCCCCGGTCTTCTCACCTTCTAAGCCTGGATGCTGAGAATTTTTCTTTCTGTTTAGGAAACCACTAGTCTGATGCCTGTCATCTCTTCACCATAATTTTAAAGCCCAGTTATCTTTTAAGATCCCATTTCCTTGAGGAAGAATTCCCAAGGAAGTTACCTACCTCTGAATGTCTATAAAACTGATTATCAGTCATTCTTGTTTTTAAATTTGGTCACATATTTCCATGGGATATGCTTTAGACTCTAATTCCAATCTTTTTAAAATCAAGTTTTCCATGTGTTTACATCATGGAGTTCTGATTCTATTAGAAGGTCCTTGAGGGCAGAGAGCATGTCTTATACCTTTCAGCTTTCATGTCTGCAGTCAACAATGTGTAGAATGGTTCTATACTCAGCATGTACTGTTATGTATGAATGTATGTATGATGTGTGTGTGTTTGTGTGTATGAATGAATGGAAGAATTCTAGCCTGGAGGAATGTTGCATTTTCTGACTGAATTTCAAAATATTCTATCCAAAGGTAGCCCAAAAGACTGGGCTAAGAACATACTTCCTCAAGTGCAGCATGCGTTCATAGTTTCTGGGACCATGCAGCACTCAGATGGAGAGGAGACCTCTGTTTGAGTCCTCCCTAATAGTACCAAAAAATGACCCCATTGGAGGTTTCCTGGCAAGCAAGGCACATTGAGCGATCTGCCTCAACCATTTGTGTATAATACCTGTTGAAAGAAATAGTCTTGGGAAGCAGCTTTACCTATATTGAAAGGTAGGGAGAGCAGCATCTCCAGTGTCTCCAGTTTCAGGGCACAAAAGACGCTCACATTGTGTGCTTCAGGGACTGAAAAAGGCAAGCTGATAGAAACGTTGTACAGTTCTGTCACATTATTTTGAGATTTCTTCATGACAGTATCATACTTAGTAGTTGAATTCTCAGTGTTTAGCTGAAAATACATCTCCTTAGGTTCTGGGTAACCTTGTATAGATGAGCAGGTCAAATTTATGATGCCAGAATTTTCTGTTCTATTAGAAGTTACTGTTATTTCAGGTTGACTGAAGTTAGCTGAAAGCAGAATAAAGAGAAAAAAAAAAAAAGAAATCAGTCTAAATTTAGATGTGTCTAGAAGACAACTGCAAATAATGCTCTGATCTGGGAACTCACTGGGGGCACATCTGGGAGCCTCCAGGTGTGTAAATTGTGGGCCTCAGTCCATGGTGAGAGCTTCATAATGACCCCACATTTATTTTTCAAGAATAGAGTTTTGGACTATGCTTACTTCCAGCTTACCCAAATCAGGGGGGTACTCTCTGAGTGAAAGGAGGGCTGAAATTGAGTCACCAAAGATTCACAATGAGGCCATTGTGCTGGAGAGTGGAGTCTTGGGAAGGAGAACTGGTGTGACTTTAGAACTCAGCCGTCTCGTGGGGTACGTTCCAGCTTGCCAGACTAAGGAAGCAGAAAGGGATTGACACCAGCCGAGTTTATGGTGCTGGCATACTCTGGGCCATATCTTCCAGAACCCCAAGCAAGATAGTGGTAAGTGAGTGGATGGGGATTTTGGATTTAGAAATTCAGAATATTGGTTTTGGGCATAACTGTCAAGTTTTCTACATCATGTACAAGGTGAAGGTCGAACCCAGCCATTTTTAGGGAAAATATATGATCTTGATAAACACAGAGATTCCCCTGCCTTGGTTTGCCATTCAGATTCTTGTGGCCATTGAGGATCACTGGCACCTAGCCCCTTCTGCCAGCCAGATCCCTGTTCTTCTTCAGTAGTCACTGGGTAGCTTTCAGGTTCTACATACTAATTTATAATTTAGTAGATTGCCTTTAACAGTGATTTGCATGTCATCTTTGTAAGTTTTGCTGTAAGTACCCTGTTTTTGTAAGTTTTGTAAGTACCCTGCCTATACTTTATGGAGTCTGTAGAAAGTGGGTTGCCATGGTGCTACCTACTTTGCCCTCCTTAACAATATCTGTGGAATCACAGGTTGGAAAAATGATTGTGTCCCACCTAAAACACACCATGTTTCTCAATGGTATCTGGCCATACTTTAAAAACATTGATTTAGCATGTGTACAAAATGTTCCAAAAGTCCTGCAGCCTACTTTAAATCACATAAAGCTTAAAGGGAGCAACTCATCATTCTATTTCTACTTTGCCTTTGCTTTAACTCTGTGTTTTCAAAATCAGTGTTGATCTGCCTTTTCCAGTTTCATTAAAAATTAATCTGAATCTAGTAATCTCATACCTGGGTATCTAACTGAGAGAAATGAAAACTTAACATTCACACAAAAACTTGTACATGTTTACAGAAGTTCTGTTTATAATAGACCCAAAACAACTGTAATAGACTGAAAACAACCCAATGTCTTGCCATACACTGAGTGGATAAAATATAATACTCCTCAGCAATAGCAAGCAACAGGCTTTTGATACATGCAACAATTTAGATGAGTCTCAAAGGCATTATGTTGAAAAAAAGAAGCCAATCTTAAAAGGTTAACGTACTATGTGGCTCCATTTAATTGACGTTTTCAAAAGTTAAGACTGTAGGATGCAAAACAGGAGTTATGCATATGGAGAGGATATGATAATAAAGTGATACAGCATGAGGAAAAATTTTTAGGGTGACAAAAATGTTTTATATCCTATTTGTAGTGGTGGTTACATAAATCTATACATATGTCAAAATCAACAGAGCTATGCATCAAAATAAAATAATTAATTTTACTGTATTATAATAAAAAAAAACTGTAGTGATATGTAGACTTTTCAAGGCCTGGAAAAAAAGAGGAGCTGAATTGTCACTTTTGGGGATTATGTGTTCTGGGTTATTTCCCTTCGTCAACCAGGCTCTTGGTTGGTCAGCAAACAACTCATAAGTGACCTCCAGGTGGTTGAAGAAAAAACCCAGATCAATCAGCTATTACCTTTGCTAGTTGCTCTAGGCAAAGATTTAGTTGGTGAGAAATCTTGGACCAAAGGAAAAAATGAACATAAAAGAAATCTGAGGCCTATATAGCTTTGTAAACTTAGTAATGGCCAAATTACCCATGGTTTTCCCTTGGCCACATTAACTTTGTTCAGTTAGCTCTATTTTGCCCCCAAAACAGATTCTTGGTGATCCTTCAGAAGCAATCTATAAAAAGTACAAGGACTTTCAGTTCCCTATTACCAAACCTTGCCTTCCCTTCAAATGGACTTCCCAGAAATGGCTGGCCCCTGCCTTCTCTCTCCAGGTACCACCCCCACCCCTCCCACCTCCCCAACCCTACCCCCTGCAACATTTCTCTGTTCATTGCAGTCTCATCTGAGAAGGTCAGGGATCTGAACATGCCCTTGATTACATACCAAGCACTGATAGGTCAGAACTCATTTGGTGCATGGGAACTAGTCCTTTGGGCCCTTTATAATGAATGAAACAGTGATATGTGCCCTTGTCCTTGATCTGAACATTGTGGAGTCTCAGGGTCCAGTTGTCCTTGTCAAAGCTTGTACGGCCCTTATATTTGAGATGAACATTTTGAGGGTTCTCTTTGCCTCTGAATATCTCATACAGAACCAGCTTATCCTGGTCCTGCCAAAATACTACCAGCTCATCCAGGCTTATGTTTTGAGAGTTTGTAAAATGGCATGGCAGTTCTCCAGTCTTGTTGAAATATGCTTGACTCTTCATGGAAGAAACACCTAAAAACGGAAAGGTGGAGATTGGAGAAGGTGAAGCAAGAAGGAAAAAGAAAAAACAACTCCATTTATCTTTATACAATACCCAGATGCTATCTTACCAGTACAGATACTAAAGAACTAGATATTAAACTCTGGAATGTGCAATATACTGGCATCTGGAGAATGGGACCTTTGTTCTCTCTCACTCCACTGCTAACTAAAGTGGGCTTTGTGCAAACTGCAACCACTATGAAATGCACTTTCCTTATCAGTTTAATGAAGGGGTGGACTAAGTGTTCCAAGAATCTTTCAAGTACTATGGTTCTGTGAATTTAAATCCCAAGACAGGGAAAACCAGCAGAGTTAGATAATACATTTACATTCACCCATCTATTAACCTTCCTGTAACCTGAATATTGATTCTCTTCATTGTAGCTGTTACAAGGTCCATTACTTCTATGCCATCACCAAAAGTTCTCCCTTCCCTTCCCTATCCGCTTATCCCTTGGCCTGCTATAGTTGAAAGATTTCTGATAATGGCAACAAATTTGATACTCCCTCCCTTTCATTATGCCTTGATAGTTGGGTATTACATTGAGTAATATCTCTGAAATTCAAACAGTTCCCTTTGTAGAGCTTCCCTCATGAATACTGCTTTCCATGGCCAGCTCGCCCAAGGATATAAAGCAGTTTGGAAATGACACGGTCAACCAAAGCCTCTGTTTTCAGTGACCTCCCTAAGCTCTTTCAGGGATCAGAAGGAGAACTGTGCCAATATGATGGTTGTTTTGGGTTTGTGGTGGTCAAAAACCATTTAAGGTACATGAATAAAATCCTGGAAATGAATCATAGATGAGAAGGTGAGGATGTGCCTTTGGAGTACTGGGGAAACCCCAGGTACGAGAAACTTGCTCTTCCCCATATGCGTTGCCACTGGAAATTTTTACAACCCCTGGAGGACATGCTGGGAAAGTTCAGATAAAGGCTTTCACCCCTAAGCACATAGTGAAGTGTGGAAGGGATGTGGGCCACCTAACTCCTTAAATGTGATTGATTATAGGGTTTTTGTAGGACTTGTTCTGAGTCACAGAATTACGTATGAGTTGGCCAAGAAATTAAGTAGTAGTGGGTGAGAAGTGTAGGGTTAGTGGGAAATGAAATGCTGTTTCTTAGTTAATACGAAGTTAAATACCACCCTGGGGAGAATGTTAGGGTGGGTTTTGAAATAAAGCTTCATCATTCAAGACTTCAGTGAAGAGATGTTGACATTAAGCTGGAAAGGAGAGCAGGTTGGTGAGAGAGATGAGAGGAGTTTCATTTGAGGTGTTCTTTGAGGGTGGTGGGAGAAATTGAATTGATTTGATCAGTGGGTTCCTCTTCTAAGAGGGAGTAGGACATATAACAGTGACATGCACTTGGCAAAATTGAACTATTCAAAGTGTGGCCCAGTGAGAACACATAATCAAGAGGGTTGGGTGGTCTTGCGCTCTAAGGGAAGAGGACTCTGGGCACTCTTGAGAGTTAGCACAAGTTCAAATCACTGACTGTTGCATTGTGCTCACTAGAACCCTGTAAAACACTTGGCAAGTATAAAATGCAACATCTGTATGGGATGTGTTCCCATATTGGAGGGTGGTGAGAAAATTTACCTGAGTACCTGGAACTGTGAAAGGGGAACCTAAGGAAGATTTACTTACAATTTACAGCAATTGCCTTACAAGGCAATCCGAGGGCTCCTGCTACATCTTTGCTAAACTCTGAATGATAATGTAAGAGTGCCACCTGCTGTAAAAGCTTCTAGTAGCTATATCTCTGGGGAAACTCATTCTGGTTTTATCACTAATTTACTATATATATATATATATATATATATATATATATATATATATATATAGGGCAGATGACGTAAAGGCGAAACCAAACTCATAGTTGAAAATTCTACCAGTTAATGGTCAACATTAAATTATTGCTTAGTGGTCAACTGTGTCTTCTGGGCTTGGAAATGACTTCAACTTTGGCTTCTTCTTTTTGTCTTCTTTGTCTATGACTGTTTCTCTGCAGAACCTCTCTCTCCTTCCTACTCACTCTTTCCACTCACAGATCAGTCTAAATTCTCTGACTCAGGTCCCACACCCCTCCTCCCAAAGATTATAAGGGCTTTTCCTTCCACCCATCTGACTGCCCCAATCCTCAACTACCAATCAAAAGTGAAAGGCATGGGCATCACTAGGGGACTGGACAGAAATGTGAAATCTCTGCCCCACCCCCACCACCAGACCTACTGAGTCAGAATCTTCATTTTAACAAGAGCTCAGTTTGAGAAGCTGCAAGAGAGGATCTCTACCTCTGTCTTTGGAGTAGAACAAAGAAGATAGTGATAGGAACAATTTATTCCTATTTGTCCCTCCTCCCTTTCCCCTCACTCTAGGGTAGAAATCACTCTGAGGCCCATCTTGAGTGGAACTGAAAGTATTTCACAATTTACATTCCAAGTTCCTCACCAACCACTGGCTTACATGACATCACTCAGAGCTACACAGCTAATTCCCTCTCTGACAATGTGGGGAACATTTAGCTCAAGGTCTATTTTTCCTAAGTGGCTTTAGGCCTCCCCTGTTATGACTCCACACCTTAGGTCACCCAGTTACTGGACTCATTGAGACTCCACTGGTGGTTAAGCATTGAGATTCTCTCCCTTGACCAGCATCTAGGTAACAGAAAAGGTCTGGGTCTAGTTATCACTAATTGCTATGATGATGTCAGGAGCTACGCACACAAGAATCCATCTAGACACCTCCCTGATCAAGTAGAGAAGTTTGTTTCAGAGGATACTTGAGGACTTTCTTAACAATATAATGTTTAAAAGTTACACAAAACTGTAGTGTTATGACCTTGTGAGGTCTCCGACCACACCTGGGACTTTAGTCTTTCCAGGCCACTACCCCAAATGCATGTCTTATACATTCAAGGTCCATCTTCTTCTCATGTTACTATACTTATTTATACTCATAAATTTTTCTTCTTTTACTAAACTTCCTCCAAAGCTTTACCAAGCCCCCTGGAAATCTCATTCCATTGTAATAAACTCCTCTACATCTTCAATCTCTTCATCAAATATTTCCCCCAAGGTTGTGCTTTCATTGGAATCTGGCCTACCTGAAGGCCACCCTTTGTCCCCAGCTACTGCTTGTTTTAGCACACCTCGAGAGGACCTTGAGGAACACCCTTCCCCTTTTGAGGTGTTCACCTCTCTCACTGCTGTTACTACTAATCACTTGTCATTACTTCTTTGCTCACTGAGGATTTTGGCAGTAGATGCAAGATCCTTCTTTCCAACCAGTTATTACTATCAATTTGAATGATTTCAGTATGGATAAGTTCACCAACAACCTTGCTTCAAGTTTCTTTGGTCTTTTCCACTTCAAAAATCTTCATCCACAGGCTATTTCAGCAGCACCTCTCCCATGACATAACCCTGAACCTTTTCACCAAGAACATCTCTGCTTCTAGAATCCTAAACCTCAATGTAATTATCTCTGTCCACAATATATCTTCCTCCAACATTTGCTCCTGACTACTCCACCTAAGTTTGTTCTCTGACTTCATCAAGACCTCAGCTCTATCCAGTTTAGACCCTGTAGTGTGGTGCTTACCAAAGACCTCTCTACAATGATAGAAATGTTCTATATTTGTGCTGACCAACGTGACAGTCACCAGCCACTATAGCCATTGAGCACTTGATATGTAGCTAGTGTGACTGAGAAAATGAATTTTTAATCTTATTTAATTTTAATTAATTTAGTATTTTTTATTATTATTTTAGAGAGAAAGAGGAGCTCATGTGGAGCAGGGGAGAGAGGTGGAGGGAGAGAGAGAGAATCTCAAGCAGTCTCCTACTACGCAGTGCAGAGCCTGACGTGGGGCTTGATCCCATGACACTGGGATCATGATCTGACCCAAAATCAAGAGTCGGATGCTTAGCTGACTGAGCCACCCAGGTGTCCCTAATTTTAATTAATTTAAATATAAATAGCCGTATATGGCTAGCGGCTATCATATTAGATGATAGTATATCTTTCCAATCATTCTTTTGCCAATAAACTTGCCCCGCTGTACAGAATTCATCCTAAGAACATTTAATTTTTGATCTACATACCTGTTCTTACAACTAAATAATTAAGCAGTACCAGGGAAATTACTCAATTATTCAGACTGATGACATTACAAATCTGTAGTCTCCCGTCTCACTTAATTTGTTCTCTGGGCTGATTACCCTACTTTCTCTCCCTCATAGCAGTTACTTCAGCAGTTTCCTTCGCTACTGCTTTTAGTTTCTTTTTCTCTTATAGTCAAACTCTCTGAAAGAGTAAGCAGCAATTGCTGCCTCCACCCCCAGGCTCTGTCCCCCACCTCTCTGCCAAAACTTTCCTCACAGAGGTTGTCAGTGATTTCCCACCAATGCCAAATTCAGAGCTCTTTCAGACCTCATGTTATATGACCACGCTGTTGAATGTCACTGTGTTGACCATATCTCCTTCTGGAAACTCTCATCTTTCCCATTCTCTGACCTCCTGGTCAGTTTTCTATGATCACTCTTTAAATGCTGATTATCTCAAGCACCTGTTCTTGATCTTCTCCTTACTCTCTACTCTCTATGTTTTTTCTTCTCTACCCCCCTGGATTCTTTTCTTCTCTATTGCCCTGTCAAGTATAAGCTAATAATTCATAGATGCTTTTCTTCAGCCAGTCACTTTTACTAGAGTTCCAGATATCCATATTCAACTACCTGCTGAATACTGCTATTTATATAGCAACAGATACTCTCTTCCTCCCCTGTAAATGTTCTTGTCCTCTACCTCATTGAATGGTTCCTATATACCATATATATACATATATATATAACATAATATCTATATGTTTTATAAAGTTATAAAAATATGTTATATGTTTTATAAAATATTATCTACTAAAATATATGAAGCATTGTATAATGTACAATGGAAAACACATCATTATACATT